TCCCTTAGATGTATGTGTAGAAAAACCGAGTCATAACATGCCTATTAGCCTATGATTATCTAGACACATAATTTTCTAAGCACATGATCAACAACAATATACTATTATGGTACCTCTCGTCAAGACGTAGATCGTTTACCATGCCATAAAATGACCAATCGGTTAATTTTAATTTCATTTAGATAAAATTACATAAATGGTCCATGTGGTTTACCAAAGGTCACAAATTTAGTGCTTGTTATTTTTTTGACGAACATGATCCCTCTGGTTTCTAAAACTTGCATTTTTGGTCCCTGAGCTACATGAAATGACTTCTTTGCGCCTTTATATATATATATATATATATATATATATATATATATATATATATATATATATATATATTCTTAACTGATTTTGTAGGCTTCCTCCATCACTGGATGCCTCAACAATGCTTCCTCCCTCCTCTGATAAAACCCTCCACTAACCCCTTGACATCATCTTACATTTCTATCCCCTTCTTTCTCTTCATATTGCTACCATCATCATTTTAGTTACATCTCCTTTTTATATAATCATAGAGGAAAACCAAAAAAATATTATGTGTAACTGTATGTTAAACAAATCAGAAAGACGTCAATTAAAAACACATGAAACTAGGGATAAAGAACACACATAAAAACTTTGTGAAAATATATCAATTTCTTGACAAACTTGGGTAAAAAAAGATTGATCTCTAATTGAATATTATACTTTGATTTTAATTATGTAATCACATCAAGGTAAAAGTATTACAACTACATTAGGTAAGAAAAGAACATACCAAAACATTGTTATGTAGTTAAATATAAGAACTAGAAAAATCAATAAATTCTACATTAACATATTCAGTTTTATTACCAAACAAGTTGAAGCATTAGGAGAGGGAGACGATGTATAGTCTTCCTAACAATAGTAAGAAATATCCACCAGTGATGTTGCTTCGATCGTTGGGGGATCGTTTGTTTATGAACTGACGGGAGGAAGGGAAGACAATAATTGGGGGCTTAGGGTGGTTAATGGTGGAGCAAGGTTGTATCTAGGCAACACACATATTTGGTCCACTACTGGGGTTCAACAAGGAGACCCCTTGGGACCACTTCTTTTTGCCCTTGTGTTGCACCCGCTCTTGCATAATATTAGAGACAATTGCAAGCTTCTTTTCCATGCATGGTACCTTGATAATGGCACACTTATTGGAGATTCGGAGGAGGTGGCCAAAGCGTTGGACATTATTACGGCGATTGGGCCAAAATTGGGCCTTCAACTGAATATCAAGAAAACCGAGCTCTTTTGGCCCTCGTGTGATGGTAGGAAGCTACGTGAGGGGCTATTCCCGGCTGACATCGGGAGGCCGCCTTTGGGGGTGAAACTTCTTGGGGGAGCTGTTAGTAGAGATGCTAGTTTCATTAACAACATATCCATAAAGAGAGCCGAAAACGCTGTGAATTTGATGCGCCTTCTTCCATAATTGTCTGACCCCCAGAGTGAGCTCCTTCCACTTCGGTCTTGTCTGGGTATTACTAAACTTTTCTTTGGGCCGAGGACGTGCCAATCCATTCACATGGAGGAGGCGACAATTTTATTTGGCAATGGGTTGCACGGGGATATTGAGGACATTGTGGTTTGTGGTGGCCCTTTCTTTGGCGACATACAGTGGCGAATTGCTTCCTTACTCATTAGGTTTGGTGGTTTGGGTTTATACTCGGCAGTAGAGGCTACGTCATATGCTTTTGTTGCCTCAAGGGCCCAATCTTAGGTATTTCAAGACCACATCTTACGGGATAGCGACATATATGGTATGGATTCTGATTATGATTGTGCCTTGGCTTCTCTTCGTAACAAGCTTCTGGATTTTGACCTTAGAAGTTTTACTACTAAAGACATCGCCCCCCCCCCCCTAAATCCCAGAACACACTGGTGAGTGCCCTTTTTCGTAAAATTGTCCAAGATATGGAAGTGCATCTCAACATGACAGCTCGACAGAAAGCAGTTTTCCAGTGCTTACGTGCACCACATGCTCAAGATTTTCTTCTAGCTATCCCTAAATATGGGCTTGGTCAACATATGTCTCCTATGGAGTATCGTACTATCCTCAAATATCGACTCATGATTCCAATATTCCATGCTGACGAGATTTGTCCGGTGTGTCGCAAGGCATGTTTGGTCTTTTTGGAGAGCATGCAGTTCACTGTAAAGAACTTCCGGGGTTCAAATACAGAAAATATATGGTTATGGATGTTTTCTTTGACATATTTAAGTGTGTCGGGGTTTCCGCTAAGAAAGAGGCACCTGTGAATTTCTTGACTGACCCGACAGAAGGAAGGTCAACCCTCAGACCGGCTGACATTTTGATTATTGGATGGGTCGGAGGAAAATACAAATGTGTGGACCTTATAGGGGTATCCCCTCTCGTGGGCTTGAGGGTTGGGGGTTTCACGGCAGGACATGCTGCTTTAAAAGCTGCTACAGGTAAGGTCACCAAACATGAGAAACCGTGCATGGAAAATCAACACATGTTCATACCCTTTGCATTTGATATGTTTGGTTTCCTTAGGCCGGATGCGGTAGAGCTTCTTAATAGAGTACAACGGATCATGCATAACAATGTTATATCCCCTAGATCTATGGATGTAGTCTTTAAAAGAATTAGCTTTACCATACAAAAACGCTTAGCGGCGCAACTTGTTGCCCGTTTGCCATTTCACTCGTTGTACGATGATAATTAAATTAATGAAAAAAAAGTAAAAAAAAAGATGTATGATGATCTTTATTCAATTGGTTGGGAAGAGGGGTACTTGCCGGAGATGCTAACTAAAAATTTCGTTGACTTTAGACAAACTCAGATCGTAGGTTGTGGATTACGACAGTTATTTGAGGAAGGGTGGGGAAGGAGGAGGGTGATAGAGACAAGCGGATGTACCTGGTTTCATGGATGGGCTGCTTGAAGACCACCGAAGGTGGGTGCGAGGCAATATAGAAAAGTAACAGGAGATTGGGGGTATTGAGTTATGCTGTAGGATCGAGGAAAATCGAAGAAGGAGATCTACTTCTTCAAGGTCGCCTCGCTGGCACCTGGTTTCAAGGACAATGAAGGAAGGCTGGATGTCGAAACCAGGGAATAAACATGTGATGGATAGGGTTGAGACCTAGGGTATTATATGATTTCTTTTAATTTAAATTAAACTATAAAAAAAATTTAAATAAAAAAGTTAAGTTAGGGTATAATAGTAATTTTAGACCAAATTTGTAAGAAAATGAAAACAAAAAGACCAACCACGTAAAATTATCAAACCACCAGGACCATGCTAGTAAAAATAAATTAATAGAGAATGAAGTTGTGACATTTAGTAAACCACATGGACCATTTACGTAATTTTGTCTTTCATTTATATAGTGTATGGAGGTGGATATCAAACTTCTATGCCTCCTCATAGAATTACCAAATGATGTATTGGTCTAGTTACCTTATTTGTAGATGAATAATTTAGCTATCCATTTGTAATTCCAAAGAAACATCACTACTTTTTATGGTCGTATTACCCCTTTTGTAAGAAATAATTAAGGCTACATGCTATACCATAATTTTAACAAAAATACATAGAAGAAGTACAATATCCAGATATCCATATGAAAAATATGATCTTTGGAAAAATTTCAATAAATACCAACTAATCTACATTGGAGCGTTCAAAGTACGACTTTCCGATATCCATATATCAAGTATGTTATATCCATGCATAACCCTTGGTACAGACATAACAATGAAAAAAATCAGTGTAAATGAAGTTCGCATGACAAAATTATGAGGGTTCAAAGTTGGCTAATTTTTCATATATTTCACAAACTACCTCACTTTGAAGCCGGTGGCGGACGCAGACTGTTTTAGTAAGGGTGTCCCTCGTACTTCAAGCGGGTGCACCTAATAGAAAAAACCAAAAAAAAAAAATATTTTACACTGCGTGCCGAAAATTGAGCGGTAGCCCGGGACCCCAAATGCCCCACTAAAGTCCGCCAATTGAAGCTAAACAAAATATCACTTTCTCATCTCCAAATTTAGAGTATGATATGTTCATAAACATCTCACAAAGAAACACAATAAAAATATTTTCCACCTGAAACGCAGTTCATACGTAGTTATAAATGTTAAAAGTTAGAGAGAAACATGACTTTTTTACTGGTGCAAAAAAATAATGACTTTTTTGAAATTCAAGATTTTTTCTATTGTTTTTAAAAACAGGTCGGTAGGCTTTTCATTATTTATTTTACAAAACCCGACGATAAATATTAAAAAGAAATAAAAAATGTTATAAAGGTAGTTGACCAACACCTTCCATTTTAGTTATGCACACACAAATTACCTCCAAAAACATCGGCAATTTAGACGACGGCGATGGACCGATACACCGTATATGATTTTAGGTCAAAAAATCGATAATGTTTTTCCCCCCAAAACTGCAGGTTTTGTTTGTTCTGGGTTGAAACCAGAGTCTGTATTTGATGCTCTTTGTCGATATTTTACTTTCCAATCTGGTAGCTTCTTCGTTCAAGAATCCAACACTATTAAAATGCTTTCTACTTCAATTCATAGATTACTATCATCATCGTATATAGTAAAGAGAATCCGAGTCTACATTGAAGCTAAATAGAGTTAATTAACTCGGTTGTAAGTATTACGTTATGCCCTTTTTGACTTCCAATTTTCGTTTGATGAAATTTTTATTTGACATAGAGTTTGCAAAAAGCCTGGAAGCATGGCTAATACCTGGTCCCATAAATTTTTATTCAAAGTCCAAGTTCTGCTGCAATAATACTCACGAAGTCTTCATCAAGTCCACTTTGACTATGTCAAATTGGTATGCTTCTTCCTAATCACCTTCCCTTTATACTTTCTTTCTTGTGTTCACACACTCACACACACACACACACACACCACCTCCATTCTTGTACCACTGCTATCTCAGACACGTTTTGGAGTAAAAATGGCAGATGGTGCTGTGAACTTCCTACTGGAAAAGCTGACAACGATCCTCATGCAGGAAGCATCATTACTGGGAGATTCTCAAAGTGACGTTGAGGAAATAAAACTGGAGCTGGAAATCATGAGATCCTGCATAAGAGATGCGGAAAGAAAACAGTTGAAGAGTGAATTGGTGGAAGCATGGGTGAGACAAGTGCGAGAAGTGGCACAGAAAGTAGAAGACGTGTTAGATGAGTATGTCTACTATAAAGATTTGGAAGAAGATAAACGAGGGTTCAAGAATTTGATGCAAGACATCATCAAAGTTCCAATACACATGAGCAGAAAACGTAAAATCTCCATGAAGCTTCAAAAGCTTAAAACAGAAGTTCGTGAAGTTTGTGAACGAAGAAAAAGGTACACATTTGATGAGAAAACTGATGATCGGAGAGATAGAAATGCTTCGATTGACTGGTGGCAACGTCAAGAAGAGCTATTGATGTTCGTTGATGAAGATGAGATAGTGGGTATGGATGATAATAAAGCTAAACTGATTGAATGGTTGATGGAAGATGATCCTCGAAGAATGGTTGTATCTGTAGTTGGAATGGGTGGGTTAGGGAAGACAACTCTAGTTACCAAAGTCTACAATGATCAAGCGATTCAAAGATACTTTGATTGTTGGGCATGGGTATCTGTGTCTCAAACTAAAGGTGTTGATGAGTTGCTAAGATCCATGATCAAGAAGTTGTTTGGAGGAAAGCGTGAAACTCTTCGTGTTGATTTGGGGTTGTTGAATTACAGAGAATTAGTCGAGATGCTTATTGACTATCTTCACAAGAAAAGGTACGTGATTATTTTAGACGATGTTTGGAAGATACTTCTTTGGAGTAGAATAAGAAGTGCATTTCCCGAAAATGGTCTTGGAAGCCGAGTTATATTCACAACAAGAAACGATAATGTAGCAAAATCAGTAGGACCCGGAAAGCATGTTCTTCGCCTCGACCCTCTTGGAGAAGATGATTCATGGGCTCTCTTTTGCAAAAAGGCTTTTTGGAGCGATTTAGGACATTTTTGCCCTCTAGAACTCGAAGAATTAGCTCGAGCCATTATGAAGAAATGTGAGGGATTGCCTCTTGCTATAGTGGCAATCGGGGGTCTTTTGTGTTCAAGAAACAAAACTGCTGTTGAGTGGAAGAAAATATACGATAGCCTTACGTGGGAATTGAGCAACAATCCTGTTCTCGAGGGTGTAAAAGGAATTTTATCATTGAGCTTCAATGATCTACCCTTTTACTTAAAGCATTGTTTCTTGTATTGTTGTGTTTTTCGTGATGGATATCCAATCAAGAGGAAGAAGCTTATAAGATTATGGGTTGCAGAAGGGTTTATCTTGGAAAGAAAAGGAATAACAATGGAGGAGGTAGCAGAGGAGTATCTTATGGAGCTTAATCTTAGAAGCATGATTCAAGTCACTGAAACTAATGATACTGGAAGAGTCAAGATGTTTAAAGTCCATGATGTTATGCGAGAACTGGCAATGACAACATCTCAAAAAGACAATTTTTGTTTAACATACGATAATGACACAGAGGTTAGATTTATTAGTAAAATCCAACGCCTCTCGGTATATAACAGAGGCAGAAATTTCTATTTAAGCAGCACGATATTACGCAATCTACGTGCTCTCTTTGTCTTTCAGATAGAGACAAGTTCATCTTTCTCCTTGAATGCAGTGTTGTCTAGCTTTAAACTGCTAAAAGTTCTTGATCTTGAAAGCGTGTCGATTGGATCGATCCCGGTTTCTGTTGTTGGATTATTCAACTTAAGGTACTTGAATCTTCGAGAAACCAAGATCAATGAGCTTCCAAAGTCAATGGAGAGGCTTAGAAATCTACAAACACTTGATGTCAGGAATACCAAGCTGGAGAAGTTACCAAATGGAATAGCAAACATACCACGACTTCGACACCTTCTTGTTTGTTGTGTAAGGGATCATAACACCCCTGGAACCTCCAATATTCATTCTGGCTTACGGGTACCCGTAGAAATAACGAAAATAAGAAGTTTACAAACATTGGCATCCGTTGAAGCAGATGAAGATTTCATCCAACAAGTTGGACACTTGACAGAGCTCAAAAGATTGGATATAACAAACGTGAAAGCAATAGATGGGCCAAAGCTGTGTAACTCAATCGAAAAGATGACGGATCTTCGGCGTTTGAGCATCACCTCCAGTACAGAAAGCGAAGAGCTAGTTCTGGAATCATTAGCTTTCCCTCCCGTGTTCCTCCAGAAACTGGTGTTAGTTGGGCAGTTGAGTAGGTTGCCTCCTTGGCTCGAGTCATTAGCAAATCTAACTCATCTTTACTTGTGTTCCTCTAGTTTAGGTGATGATATCCTTTCATCTATTCGGGAGTTACCGAGTTTAGCGTTCTTGGAACTCAAGAACACTTGCAAATGCAGGTCGTTGCATTTCACGGCTGGAGGGTTCCCAAAGCTCAACAAAATGCGTTTGTTGGAGCTTGTAGGGTTGAATGTGTTGAGATTGGATAAAGGTACGTTGCCGAGCATCAAAGACTTGAATCTGGTTCGATGTAGAGAGATGAGATCATCGCTACAAGGTATTGAGCATCTTACTAGTCTTCAAAAGTTATACTTGGAGGAAATGCCAGCAGAATTGGTTCAAAGGTTGAGAAGCGATGAGCGTGCCAATGTTCGTCACATTAACACAATTAGCCTTGTGTACCTAAGTGGACAAAGTCGAGTGATTGAAACGCTTTTCTAGTTCGTGATGTGCGTTTTGTTCCTGAGCCCGCTAAGCCGGTCATTTGTGTGATTTGGTAGTATGTGTGTTTTGCCCCTACGGTTTCGGTCTTGAGGAACTCTCGGTAATCGCAATATGTCCTCTATTCTTCGGACATTTGGATTTTATTTTATAAGTATTGTGATAAGATATTAAAAAATCAAGTAAAAAAATATGTTTATATTTATTTTGTGCATAAAATCATACTGCAGTGTTTGAAAAACCCGACCATGGGTCTAAATTTGATATTATTGATTACTTGGAAAACAAAAACAAATAGCCAATAGTATTTATACAAATTGCTAGAAAACCTAATTATAGTAGGAAACTAGATAAAGGCTTAAAATAAGATTAAAAGGAGGTTGTAATCGGAAGATGAGAATGAGTTGTATATATCCGATTTTGCTTTATTCCCCCTCAAGTTGGAGTGTGAAAATTACGAACACCCAACTTAGTAAGAAGATAACGAAACATGTCTGTGCCTAGAGGTTTCGTGAAGATATCTACAACTTGTTCATCAGTGCTAATAACATACACAGGTCTGAATTTCACTAGATTTAATGCGTTCACATACAAAAAAGCAATCCATCTCGAATGTTTAGTACGTTCATGGAAAGATGGGTTGTTAGCAATATGTCGTGCTGCCTGGTTATCACAGTAGAGAGAGTAGGACCCGATTGATGGGCATCTAGATATTTTAATAATCAACGAACCCATAAGATCTCACTGACAGTGGAAGCCATGGCTCAATATTCAGCCTCTACAGATGACCGTGAGACAACATATTGTTTCTTTGTCTTCGAGGAAATAGGAGCACCATCCAAGGCAATAAAATAGCTAGTCTTGGAACGTCTGGTGAGGGGACATCCAAGCTACTCAGAGTCTCAAAAGGCCTTGCGAGTAAGATTCCCGGTGATAGACAAAAAAAATACCTTGTCCCGTTGTTCGTCAATGTGGCGATCTGGATACCCCTTGGATCGTGTAAACACTTTCTGAACTGATATTTCTACCATATGTCCGGGTTACAAGAAGATCAGCCTAGGATAATCCTAAGGGGATACTTACGAATCTAGGAAAAGAAAACGTAAGCCAAATTGCTAGAAGATTTTGAGTTCGTATGAAGAAAAACGAGAGCTAAAAGTAAAACGAGAGCTAAAAGTATCGTCCCTTCAAAGAGGAGAGCCGTTTTTATAGAAAACGAAATGTATGGTTTCAATATTAGGGTTGGCCGTCATCGGTTTCTTTGGAAACAAATCAATGGAATCCAAATTAATGAGGAAACAAATCCGAAATTAATCAGCGGGACCCCAGCCAGGGGCTCTGCCCCTTGGACCCTGCTAGGGGCGCTGTCCCTAGATCCCGTCAAAGCGGTGCTGCCCTTTTGGAAACTTTGGACCCAGGGGCTCTGCCCTAGAACCCCCGCCTTGTCGTCGAACTGCTTCTAATTTGATCTTATACATGCGTGCACTTCGCACATACCCAAACATATATTAGAGTACAAATTATGAATCCCCTTAGCTCACATGTAAGTTCCAATTACACAAAAATGTCCTGGTGACACTAAAATCACCAACAATCCTCCCCCATTTTAGTGTAACCCTTGAACAAACATAAAATTATCAAAACAAAACCAAACCAATATCTAATTAAAATGTCGTAACGATTGAATTTCCACTTAGTATCATACTTTTACAAATACTCGAGAATAAGGGTGTTCTATGAATTCAACCCATCAACCCATTTGAATACCAGAAAGTAAAATACATACTAGTTTATTGAAATTTCTAACAAAATACAACTTGACACTATTATTAAGTCGCGTATCGTAATCCTCTCATGATCGTATCGAGGCCAAGTCCTCAACCTCTTGAAATGTCGCTACACTTCACAATCACGTATGTAACTCCTTTCCATGTATCTTCACATACATTTAATCAAATGAATTATTAAGAAGTTAAACTTCAACATGGCCAACTACAAAACCGAACACATTACCTGGGATGTATACTTCATGTGTTCCAATCTATAAGTGTGAGTTTCCACATTGAATTCAGCTCCTAATGTCATATTAGGAGGGAATTGGGTGTCTCACCATTACAGAATTAGATGGACTTTAATCCCATCCCAATCACAGACTTGTGCACTAGGTCTCTTGACAAACCCTTAGTCAAATGATCTACCAAATTATGTTGCGATTTCATAAAATCAAATTACAGTATTCCTGATTAGTTCTCTACCCACACTGTGTCGGACACCTAAGTGTTGACACTTGTCATTACACACTTGAGTATAGACCTTGCCCAACGTGGCAGTGTTATCACAACGGATAGAAATAGTTGCTATCGGTTTAAACCACAAAGGAATCTCATAGAATAAGTTCTTTAACCATTCAGCCTCTTTACCAGCAGAATGTAATGCAACAAACTCATATTCCATTGTTGAGTTTGTAATGCAAGTTTGCTTCTTCAAAGCCTAGGAAATGGCATCTCCCCCAAGCAAGAATGCCCAACCAGTCGTTGAGGAATGATCCTACAGGTTGGTTATCCAACTTGCATCCGAATGTCCTTCCAAAACCGAAGGATATCCCAAGTAACTCAAGCCATAATCCATGGCTCCCTTGAGATACTTAAACACTCTATTCATTGCTTGCTAATGTTGAGAATTAGGATTTTTAGTATACCTGCTCAATTTTCCTACAACAAAAGCAATATCAAGCCTGGTACTTATCATTGCATACATCAAACTACCAATGGGTTTAGGCTATTCCAATTGTGAAATAGGAGTTCCTGTATTTTCCATCAATTTCATACCTGGATCCATAGGAGTGCTCATAGGAGAACAATCGGTAAAATTAAACATCTTGAGAATTTTCTTAATATAATGACTTTGAGTCATTACCTAGCCTTTTGCCATCCTTTTAATTCTTATTCCCAGAATTATATCAGCCTCTCCCAAATTTTTCATGGAAAACTTAAATGATAACAATTTATTTGTTTCATCTACTTGATTTTGGTCGGTACCGAAAATCAGCATGTCATCTACATATATGCAAATGATCACTCCAACACTAGTAGAATCATCAAATCTGCTATAAACACATTTGTCACATTGGTTAATCTTGAAACCAGAAGACAAAATGTGACAATCGTCAAAATTTGAGACAGTTCTAGATTTGAATAAACTTAGTTGCACATATAGGCATAACACATACTAGACTTTGTAACTAGGAGCTATGTTATAACCTACTAGAAAATTGGAAACAATTAGAAACGATGGATAGTGTACTTAGATTTCACATTGATACGTGACTTCTATAGTTACTTTAACTGTAACACCTATTCAAATTCGGGTCATTCCTTGACTTGAACACCTTTTCATGAATCATATACACATATAATGCACTTGAACTAGATGTAGAAATTAGGTCAGAGTCTGATAGTATCTTAAGTCAAAGTTGAAAACTAGGACTAGTATACTTGATTCCTCAATTTCACTTGAATCTCGGAACCACTACATAGAAATGCCAGTAAACCGACAAAAAGGAATTACAAACATTATTTATAACTATAAAAGAGTTATAAGACTCAAAAATAATTTGATGCCTCCAAAATTCAATCTATCTTGATATCTAAAGTTTAGCAAAATCCGAAAAACCCTAAAAACCCTAAAATCTCAAATTCATAAACTTTAACACCTAAAACTCCATAAAAATTTTATGAAACTTACAATATCAATTTAAAATAATTAAATTTAGGAAAATATAATCAAGGAAAATAAAAATTAAAACTTTAACATTTATCCTTAATTTATAAGCCAAAAATCAAGGTTTTATGAGTAAAAACTAGGTTATGATGCATAATTTATAAAAACAACTTAGATATGTTTAAAAAGATTGAATTTCATAAAAATAAAAAAGAGAGAGGGCATTATATCCCTTAAAATTCGGACCTCTCTCTCCTCCCACTCTTCCCAAAAAAAATTCAATCATTTTATCCTTTCTTCACTCCACCTCCTTCTCTTCACTCTCTCTCACACTCCACCACCATTTTCTCTCATCCTCCCCCTAAACTCACTAAATTTTTCCAGAAAAATGAGTCTCAAGACACCAAAAATCATCTTCTTCAAGTGTTCTTCTTAAGGTAATTGATGAGATGAAAAACTCTTAGATCGATTAGATCTTCAACAGGCTAAACATTAAAAGCAAACAAACACCATAAACACGATATAGAATCTAGTAATGCTTAATGATTCAAATGTAGTCACGCCTCAGCAGAGCTCGATGAAGAACCTCCACTGTAGAGGCGAGCTAGGGTTTGTAGTATAATGATCAGAATAATAAAAGCGCTACTAACAAAGGATGCATGCATGCACCTTAAATACTAAACCCTATTAAAATAAACACGGTTGGACAGGCCCAAACCGGATAACAAAACAGGGCTAAGGACCGAGCCCAAGGACGCAACCCTACAAGACCCAACAATCTCCCCCTTTGCGTCAAATGGGGTGAGACTTCACTTCGGTGGAGGTTGAGTAGTTCGCTTCACAACTTTGAACAATTTTGGAATGATGGAAAGAAGAGTTTGTCTGAAAGCCATATACCACCGAAGCATATTTGAGAACAGCTTCTTGTCTACTTCACTATTTTGATCACACCCATGAATAAGCTCAAGAATGTGCTCCAAACAAGAATCGGAGAATAGATGTTTGTGAGCCAGAGCAAATAAGCATCTTTGACCTTCGCCTCTAAGAAACATGACAGTGCGAGACTGTGGATCGATTTTTCCTTTCACCATCTGCTTAGTGTCACCAGCCTTCCCAACAGACTTGATTAAGGGCCTATTGCGTATAGCAGTGGCAATCTCCTGATCCATCTTCGCCACTTCATGAATGTAACACACTAGCATACACTTGATGTGATCAATGATGGGCTCATATTCTTTCTGATTGGAGAGAAGAATGTTGTTCAGAAGAATCCAATCGTG